GCTCGCAATTCCTTTTGAGGCTCAACACAGTCAGCATCTGTGTGATGTTGTGAAGGGTTCTCGATGTTCTGATGTTCCTGAGAGACCATCATCAAATTGAGGTAATTTCCTTACTTTAATATCAATTTTGGTGTGGAAGCGTTATGAAATCCTATAATAAGTATTCTGTAATAAATAAGAATGATATTTGAACAATTATGTCTTGCATATATGGAATAATAATTGATTTTCTTAAAAAAGAATACAATGTATCTATATTTAAAAGTAAAATTATTTCCTACTTCTATTAACAACAAGAAACTAAAATAAGGAAACTGATAAAATCTAATTTAATTAGAAATCTTATTCTAATTAATAAAGAAAATAAATCATATTCTAAATAAGAATAAAAATATAAAATTTATTAGAGTTGGAAACGAAAACTAGAAAAAATAAATCACAATTGTAGTAGGAAGCTACTTACCATAATTATGTAATGCATTAGATTATGGGCCCGTCTGGTGGAAATTTTTAGGGAAATTAAAATTATTCTTCTGACCCTTTTTGTCAGTTTTTGAACCGACCTACGGACAGCCCTAATTCCCCTCCACTTGAATAAAACTCGTCCTTGAGTTTTCTTGAAAAAAAAAATCAATCAATCCGGAGGAAAATACTCAAAAATTTCTACAAATATCGATATTGAAAAAATGATCATTTCTTGATGTGCTCGATAAACGACATTATATTCTTCAATTGCATTATTCAAAGTCAACTTTGTTCCTATCATACTTGTTATATTTTCTTCACAGATAATTTCCAAAGGACATTCCTTAAAAAACGAAGCATGATTTGATTTCTCATCATTGAGTTCACTTTCAATAGAGGCCACCTGTACTATTTTCAATTCTTTGTACTTCTCACATTTTGCTGTAATGTTTAGTGATACTTTTTTCAACACAAAAGAATTGGTACGCGGACTCAAATACTCATCGTCCATGTTTTCCTTATTTTTATGCAATTCTTTGACACTAAAGCTGTAGAAAAGCTCAACAAAATTTTTATTCTCAATTTGACAATCTTCACATTTGACTCATTTGTGATTGCAAAATTTAATTTTTTCCTCTCCTATTGGACACTTCTGATCTTCAACTTGTTCATCTTTGGAGTGCAGCTCGATCTTGAAGTTTTCAATTGTAATTTCCATATACAAGGAATCAACAAGTCTCGGATTTTCAACTTACACATGCTTTTCTTTTTCTATTTTAGTAACATCTTGATTATCTTGAATTCCTTCTTTTTTTGCCTCATTATCTGCCTAAAAACTTTTTTCTCTTTGTCATCCATAAATTGTTCATCAAATGACACCAAGACAATCTTTTTATCATACCACCTAAACACATATATATTATATCGACATATGTAAGTGGCATCTACATCATAGTACCACATTTGTCCCCAAAGTACATGACAATTGTCCATATCTACCACGTTACATATAATCTCATCTTTGTAATACTTTACAACAAAAAGTGAAATTTTACATACCTCCATATTGTGAATTTTTCACACTTGTAAAACTTAATAACAAGATGTATATTTTTCAATTTTCAAATTTAAAGCTTTCACCAATACTTTGGATACCAAGTTCTCACTATTCTTATGTTTATTATCACCTTGCATACTTTATTGTTGATTGTGCATCATGTTCTAAATATTTTCTTGTACTTTAAATTGGACTCTATATATTTTCTCGATAAACTTTCATAGAATCCTTAATAACTTCTGTTTATTCAAACTTAACTAGTACTCGAGGAAACTCTCTAGCCACTTGTTGTCGTGTTTTAAGTTTGTTGGAGGAACTAACATTCATAGTAGTTTAAGTCTGCAAATTCACGTCAGCTTGCTTTTCAATGGGCTCGCGATTCCTTTTAAGGCTCAACACAGTCAGCATCTGCGTGATATTGTGAAGGGTTCTCGATGTTCCGATGTTCCTGAGAGACCATCATCAAATTAAGGTAATTTCCTTACTCTAATACCAATTTTGGTGTGGAAGCGTTATGAAATTTTGTAATAAGTATTCTGTAATAAATAAAAATGATATTTGAACAATTATGTCTTGCATATATGGAATAATAATTGATTGTTATAAAAAAGAATACAATGTATCTATATTTAAAAGTAAAATTATTTCCTACTTCTATTAACAACAAGAAACTAAAATAAGGAAACTGATAAAATCTCAATTTAATTTGAAATCTTATTCTTATTAATAAAGAAAAGAAATCATATTCTAAATAAGAATAAAAAGATAAAATTTATTAAAGTTGGAATCGAAAACTAGAAAAAATAAATCACAATTGTAATAGGAAGCTACTTACCATAATTATGTACCAAATTAGATTATGGGCCCGTCCGGAGGAAATTTTTAGGGAAATTAAAATTATTTTTCTGACCCTTTTTGTCAGTTTTTGACACTTTTTGGTCAGTTGGGACCCACCAGTGAGAGCGTTGGTCAAAAAACTCGGCTGCAAGTGGATGGGCAACGGTTAAAAAATCCAATTCTGACCCTTTTTGTCAGTTTTTGACCCTTTTTGGTCAGTTGGGACCCACCAGTGAGAGCGTTGGTCAAAAAACTCGGCTGCAAGTGGATGGGCAACGGTTAAAAAATCCATGGAAATTTCCTCTAGACAGGCTCTATATATCTAGAATTAAATATCAAATGACAATTTGGGATATTTTGGTATTATTTTGAAATGATTAATATATCATATCAACATAATATTTTATTATAAAACGTGATTATTATTTAACAATATTTTTTGAAAATATATAATATTTTAATGAACTAATTTATGCTTTTTAGCTAAATTTTATTTGAATTGTTAAAAGTATATGTTTATATTTTACATCTTGTTTTAGTTTATAAATATAATTTAATTAATAAATTTGCATGTGTACTTTTATGATTTACATCTTATTTTAGTTTATAAATATGAATTTTATTAAGTTTTCATTTATTAATATCTGTGTTTACATGATCAATATAATTAATTTAAAAACTTTAATCAATTATTAACAAATTCTTCAACAAATTTTAGGTTTAAATTTCCACTGAATTACATATTGAGAATCGTGTATTCACAAAGTTTTTATGTATTAATTTATTATTAAAGGGTACAAATTAAATTACACCTAATTGTGAAAATTTTATCTTTATTCCCAAGAATATTTTAAGTATATCATCCTCATTTACATGATATATGGTTTAAAAAGTGATTTGGAATGTATGTGATACTTTAAACTAATGGGATGTTCTCAACTGAAATTTTGATAAATTTTAAAATATTGTAAATTTTAATAAATTTTGAGGATTTGAATAGATTTTCATAAAATCCATAAGAATCTCATTAAAAATAATGAAATTTCAAAGAGTTCATTATATGTATTTTAAATTTGAAATCCATCCAAATTTCTTAAAATCCATTTATTAATATCTTAATAAATCTACGAGGAAATCTAGATTTTAAAGGATTTCATTTGAAATTCATTAAAATTTTAGTTGATGATAACTAAATTTTAATGAATTTCATCAATATTCATTAAAATCTCAATTGCGAACACCTTAATTTAATAGAAATTTTAAAATTCATCAAAATCTCAAATGATGACACCCTTGTAGATACAATGAACACTAGTATAATTTTCTAAACGTGAAAAATGTCTTTGATATAAACATAATAAAATTTAAAACATTTCTTTGATAATGTTTCGTTTCATTAAACACTTGTTTGGTAGGGATTAAAATTAATTTTTTAGTAAAATTTTGATAGATATTGATGAAATATATGGTTGAAAAGGCGTGAGTCTAATTAAATGTGTAGTTAAAATTAATTATAGAATATGATTTGACTTGAAATTTTGATTTTAATTCTCACTAAAGGACTAGAAGTTGTTTTCTAGTAGGCCCACAAGAACATAAAGTCAATAAGAAACCTTGGATTACAACTATTATTTGACCTACCATAGTTTGCATTTTCACAAAAATACCCTTTTTCCAAGCCTAACCTTAAGTTAGATCTATTTCTAAACCTAAACTAATTGTGTTGTACAAAAATACCATCATTCCAACCCTAATCCAACCCAATACCTAAGATAATAAAACCTTGATTTACAACTATTACATGGCCTAACATAGATATGCCTTTTTATAAACGTACTCTTCTTTTCATATCTTGTTCAATTCAATGTTCACGTCAACAATCAAAAGTGTACGAGTATAATAGTATTTTACAAAAATACCCTCTTACCAATACTATCCCAACTCAACACCCTAGTCAGTAAACCAGAGTTAACCAATAATTCCAACTATAAATAATCCCACAAACTCCTCTTTCACAAACCCTAAAACACACTCAACCTCTCCATACCCTCTTTTCATTGTGAAATTTTTAGTTCTCTACTCCCTTTATGCCCTAAAATATTCCTCCACCTTCTCACCCCCAGCCTCTACCCCAATTGAGTTATTATATTGATCAAATTGAAGTTTTTTTGTGTTTTGAGAAAACTAAAGGCCAAAATTAGGAAAAACAAAGGTCAATAATTTCAATTTGACATCAAGAAAGGGATTAGAAGACTCATCCCCAAAAGTCCTTTGGGCAACTACTACCCTAGAAAATCCAATAACTGGTATGTACGTCTCTCCCTTTCCCCAATACACCCCAAACTACCCATGAATTTTTCATTTTTGCCCATGCTCTCTCTCTCTCTCTCTCTCTTGGGTGCTCTAGTCCCCCCTCTGTGGAGAGAGAAAGAGCGGCACTTGAAAATTTTGAAATTATTTTTCATACGAGGCTGCATAAATTTTTATCTCTAAAGAATCAAGAACCATATATCAAAAGTTATCCCTCCGAAATATCATTTTTCTAATTGTGTGTGCTTCCCATTGTACCTACATTTGTACTCTTACTGTATGTTTACATATGAAGTAATGCATTGTTGTTAGGATTTGAATACACAGAATAATGACAGGATGGTCCAAGAAAGTTGCCGGGTCTCGTGTAGGAAGCTTCAATACTCAGAAAGTTCAGAAAGCGGAGCCCTGCTTGAAGAATTTCGCTAATATTGAAGAAAACGGTGAAAAGAACACTGACAAGGAACTTAAGTGCCTATTCAATGACCTTCTCGAGGGTTTTCTTAAAGAAGTTTCTGGCGGTTCGAATTTTAAACCATTGTCTCGATTGATTTTTGATGGGCAGGAAGTTGATCTGTTCAAGCTTTTCTTTGTTGTGAGGCAGAGGGGTGGGTATGAGAGTGTGTCGACGAATGGGTCGTGGGGTTTAGCTGCCAAAGAATGTGGGTTCAAATCGAGTATTGGTGTGGCTTTAAAGTTAGTTTATAATAGGTACTTGTATAAATTGGATCAATGGTTAAGGGAAAGTGTTTTAGTTAAGCAAGAGGTGAAGACGGGGGTTAAAGAGAGGGACTTAAGTTTATGTGGGCTTTCTATGGGCTTGAAGTCAGATTTAAAGGTGTTTTTGTTGGGCATCATGGATAAAAAGATGGAAGATGGGGAGTTTATGAATGCAGAGATCAAAAAAGATTCATTTGGTTTTGAAAATGAAGGTAGTGAAAGCATATTTAAGGATAGAGGCTTTGTGGAATCAAATGGAAGAGTTAAGAAAGGGGAGGAAGTGATTAATGAGAAAGTCGAAGAGAAGTGGATTCTTAACGACAAAGTTAAAGGAGGTGGTATTGAAAATTTTGATGAAAAGAAAGGTGGCGTTGATGGTAGAAAGAGGAAGCGTGAGTGCTACTCGAGCATGCTGAATTGGATAGGTAAGGTTGCAAGGGATCCCTGTAATCCTGAAATCGGGTTGTTGCCTGAAAAGCATAGGTGGAAGTATTATGATAGCGAGCAGTTATGGAAGCGGATTCTCTCGGTTCGTGAGGTGATGCTTTTGAAAAGGAACATTGGTTCAAGTTCTCAACATTCCATTTGGCAGGTGAACATGCTTTTCACTCCTGTCTGTATATGAATGGTAAATACGTAACATGTTCAAAACCCTAGAGAGATTCGGTCATTTATTGCTTTGTTCTATTTAGTTATAGTATTGTTTATCTTACCCGAATCTATTGTCATGCACTCGTGTTGTGTTATGATCTATTCATAATGTGATACCAACAGGATAAATGTTTGCATAACTGCTACTGGACATTGCCGCTATTACCCTTTTGCAATGTGATCTTCTTCAAAAAGATATGCATTCATGGCTGTCTTAATTTACTATGGTGTTTGCTTTGGCTTTGAGGATTTCTGTCCTGTCAAGTTATGTCTTCTTTTGCTTTACTTCGTATTTGATCCAATTGAGAGAGTTTCTTTCTTATTTTCCCAACTTTGGTAGCCATCTTCTATTTTATGCTATTCCATTTAAGTATTGAGTTGCTTCTTGATGTTTAAGATAGAAATAAGAACTTAATCCACTGGTTGTTTATGCTGAACTACCTCATCTTAAACTTGGTCTTTTTTTAGAGTCAAGCTGAACTTATTTATTTAGTTATGTCTTCAATGTACCTCCTCTTTTGTAGGCTAGGTTCATTTGTTCATTAAAGGCTTTATACACAATTCTCATAAATGGGTGATAGCTAGTCTTATACTTAAGATAGTTCATTGTGTTACCATGTTGAACCAAGCTAAAAGCTTAAGCTTTTTAGAGAGGAAAAACTTATTTATTTAAATTTTGTCTTCAACGGTTTATTGGAATTTTGTATTTATTGTAATATTGAATCTTCTGCTCTTTGTTTAAACAGTAAATTGCTTTTATGATTAGTGCTCTACTAGACAATTTATTTTTTCAAATCGAGCGGGAGAAAAAAGTTGATGGCTATGTTACTACTGATAGTTAATGAACTCGGTTTTCCAGTTTTTATCAACGTAATTTCTAGGTACATTTGAAATGACTAAAATTTAATTGCCACTAAAACAATTTAATTAGCTACCATATTTTGAGTTACAAATTGAACTATAAATGATTAATTGTGCTAGTTTATCATGGTAAAAGTTTCATTCTTGGTCAAGAGTTAACCTTGAGGGATTGTTCAATTGTTCAGCCCTTGGGTTTGCACCTCAATGATCACCCGTTCGAGTCTCCTCAGGGCCATTGAGGTGAGTATTCGACCGTAAACTTCAGGGCCCCGTGGGCTTAGTTGAGGTGCGAGCAAGTTGGCCTAGACATCCACGGTTATAAAAAAAAAATAATAATAATTCTTGGTCAAGAGTTTGGCATTGTGTGTGTGAAGTGGAGAAGTCAACATTTGTTTTGAGATATTATATACTTAAGGAAAGGATCCTAGTAGTTGCGGCTTAAATAGGTAGGTGCCTTTTAATTGTAGTGTGAATTTGAATGTTAGATTATGGTAATATCCGATATCAAGTAGACGATGACACTTGATTATTTATGTTCTTGAAATATACCTACAATTATTTCAGGTTAGGTGAACATATTAACTCAGATCGATTATACTAAAACGTGTATATCCTAATAATGATAGTTTGGTTTGACATTGAATATCCCCCTTATACTTTAGTTTGAGATCAACAATAAATTATCTAGTAAGGGAGTTCATCCTCTCTCTCTCTCTCTCTCTCTCTCAGTTTCAATTCCAGTAAGGAATGAATTACAGCTATGCTGGAGGTAATGCTTAAGGAATATTTATCCTTTTTCTATACAAGCTTTTGCTGATGAATGTGCAAATGGAAAATGCTCAGTGTCTTGATTAATCTATCAATGATTGTAATATTTCTCCACATGCACCAGATTCCAAAATGGCTCTGAGGTGTTTTTTCTTGAACACATGGAGCTAACATTGTGCATGTTCTGTCATAATGTTGGATGCTCATTGGATCCAAGATCTTAGCCTGAATGCTGAACATATAAAAAGAAAAGCTTTATGGTACTATGATTTACTGTGTGTAGGTTTCCTTCAAATTCTTTGAACTTTAGGGTGTAAGTGAATCTTGGTTATCGTTCCATGGAATCAAAGCAGCAACTTGCTTCAACAATGTGTGACTAGGTGAAAACTGACTATAAAAACAAAATTTATGAGGTATTGGGTTCAGCCTCATGGATTTCTTGAGACCATGCCAGACAATTGAAACACTAGGGAGAAGTATGATAATTTTTCCTTGTAACAGAGTTATTCTATAAACTCTTATAATAAAAATAATTGGCGATGCTATTCTATTATTTATGCATCGGCTGTTTTGATCTTTGCTTCTCTGCATTCGTGGCATGCTATCTTTTTCCAAAAGAACCCATTGTGTTTTCATCTGCAGGAGAAGTATTTAAGTATATTGTCCTTTTTGATCATCCAAAGATTCGAATCTAGGTTTTATAGTGTATGTAGTATCACTTATTGGTCCAACTGTAGTCGGCTTATAGCTTGATAGTTTTTTTGTTTTTTAATGTTAATTATTTATTCAATTCTTGCTACGTGTAATATATATATATATATATATCATCTTTCTTCTTTATGATCAAACTTGTCGAAGATATATCCAGGGATCACTGATTCAAACAATTCCTATGACATGCAGAAGAAGCAAAAGATGCATCCGAGTTTGTACGACGATCAAAATGGGTCTGAAAGATTAAGATGCAGTCAGAGGTTCATTTCGTCAATGGATTCTTCTAGCAAGTCATGGGACTGCATTGATTCAGATTCGTCATCTTCAGGTTTTCAGAGTGATGATCATGCTGATAAACAGTCTCTTTCCACAGCAGATTCTATTAGCTACTTGGGCAACTATCTTCGCCGGAAGCGAATTCCAATAGGTCCACTTTTTCAAGCAGGATTACCAGAATTTTGTGGAGAGGCTTACAACAGTGATGCTAAATGGGTAGGTACCAAAGTTTGGCCATTGGAAAAAGGAGAAGTAAAGAAAACTTTAATTGAGAGGGATCGTATTGGAAAGGGCAGACAAGAATCTTGTGGCTGCCAGTTCCCAGGCTCTGTTCAATGTGTGAAGTTCCATGTTGGCGAGAAAAGGATGAGGGTGAAGCTTGAGGCTGGCTCTGCTTTTTATCGATGGAAATTTGATGGCATGGGTGAGGAAGTTGCACTCTCTTGGACAAAAGAAGAAGAAAACAAATTTTGCGATATAGTAAAGGTGAAAATTTCATCTTCCTACAAATATTTCTGGGACGAGCTTTTCAAATTTTTTCCTCGGAAAGGCAGGGAATCTTTGGTGAGCTATTACTACAACATTTTTCTTCTCCGGCGCAGAGGTTATCAGAATAGGACTTCTACAAGTAATATTGACAGTGATGATGACGAATCAGGACCACTCCGTAACAGATTTGGACAAATGACTGCTAATTCCATTTGTTGTTCCCCAAAGAAACCTCAAAGATAGGTGCCCGAATAGAGGTTTAGCTTCATGAGTCCGTATAAAACATGTAAACTTCGAAGTTTTTCCAATGGCCCAGTGTTTTCTTTCACTATAATTGACCGACTTCATGATCAGTTGTATCATATGTTGAGGGGATTCAGTCAGTGTGTTGCATGGTAATGGGTATATATTCTGAAGCTGGTGCAACTCTGGTGCTAATCAGCCTGGTGAAGGTGGTTCTTTATGTACTTCTCATCGTGTCACTTACCAGGAATTGCATCAACTGCTGATTTTGTACGTGTCCCCTTTTTCTTATACTTGCATATAGTTTTTGAGAACCAAGGATAATAGTGCTCCTGCGTAGGTTTGATTTTATTCGGCTTTTCATAATGTGCAACATTGGATTAATGGAGTGGCAAAGAAAGATTTATGGAGACGACTCAGAGCAACCAGGAATAAGATTAGTCTATTGTCATTTTGAGGAACAAGGACTGCTGTTGCTGCTATTATTTATTTATTTATTTTCCTTTTTTTATTTTTTTGGAACATGGATTGATGCTTTCGAATGTTGAAAATTTTAGTATTATGAGCTGGTAACTACAGGTCGCATGACAGACAAACCGCAATCTTTTTTATGTATGAGGTTACAAATGCTTTGCTATCTTTAGTACAAAACATAGTTTTTTTAACTTTTTGTTATTGTTGGTCTTGCCCAATTGATATTCATTTTCATGAATAAGGTGGTATCATGCACATCATTGTTGATATTGCATTTTTTATCGAGTGTTTTTGACCTATAGGTTTTTTTTTATTCAGTTATGACATAGCTAGAATTTTAGTAAGACAACTGCCGAATTTTCTTCAAGTCTCAATCTTGTCTGCTCTTATCCAGTTTAGCATATTAAATAAGTTCTCAATGTTGTTTTTCTAGTCCATACTTCCATTTCAATATGTGATTCTTATACCCAATTGTGGTATTTATTGAGGTTGGATAAAACTCTCGAACCGAACTGGACCGAATTGAATCGAATCGAATCGAGTGGTTCTTCATAAGTTAAATATCCGAACGGGTATTTAAATTGAGAATCGACGGGTTTGGTTCGATTCTTGGTTTTAGATTCAGAACTAAAGAAGCGAATAAGAATCGAATTTAAATAATTATTTTAATTTTTTATATTGAATTAATTAACTTTTTCTAAACAAATTAACTAATTTAGTGAATTTAGGTCTTTTTAAGTTTTTATCATTCTCTTTCCAATTTCACACTTTCATTCGGTAATCACTGAGTCAATGACCTCAAATCATTTCATAAATTGAAAACCTACATTTACATGTCAAAATCGAAAACGCCGACTGCCGAGTCCGGCTTCCCCTTTCCAATGCCCATCGAAGCAGCGACCTCCAACCACGACCACCGATCGTTGACCATTAGAAATCTGTTAAAAAATTTAATTATGGTACAGAACCGAACGGAACTGAACCTGAACGATTCCATAATTATATTTGGACCCAGCGATTCCATTTATTAAATATCTGAAAATTTTGATTCGGAACCGAACCGGATCGGATCATGTCCAGCCCTAGTATTTATGATATGCCAATAAGTTGATATTGTTCTTTTTATGGTGATAGGGTCAATAGCAAATATTGTAGATCATTGCATGAGTACGATATGTTTTGAGCATATGTAGTAAAATTGTGTAGTAAATACATGTCATAGTGATAGTTTTGCTTTTTTGTTTTTATTTTTGAACTTCTTTTGGATTCAACAAATGGTAGTCGGAGATTTGAATATGCACTAGCCAACATTTGAGGGAGCACTAGGTTGCCACCAATTAGATTGACGTTGTTTAGTGCTTTTAAGTGTTGACATTGCGGTTTTTACGAAATGTGTGGAGTAACTTGTGGCTTCTACGAAGTGTGGATAATAAATTGGTAGTAAGCCGTTGGTCATAAGAAATGTGTGGATAAAAATACGTTTGTCTAGCTTAAACTATAATTTAAGATATGCCATGCTCTTATAAGACCACTTTTTCATCTTTTCACATGTTAAGTTATTGCGTGTTCGGTAGAGATTAAAATTGAGTTAAAATTGAAAAATTAGCTGTTATTGTTGACTTTTATTAGACAAGTGAGAACCAATAACGGTTATATTTTCAATTTCAATTGAATTTTAAGCTTGGTCAAACATGCTCTTAAATTGAGGATAAATTAAAGGAATAATAGTTCACGTGGTCCCAACCAACTTAAAGGACATGTTTGGAGAGATTGGCTTAAAGAAGCATGGTTTGATAAGGTTGCAAGAAATCTTGTTGCTTTAAAAACTTTGCAAAATTGGGTTGTCAACAGCCAAAATAAGTTGAGGGAAAATGACAAAAAACAAGGTGTTTAAAGACCACACTCCAAAAATCAGATATAAAGTATATTTAATAAAAAATCAGGTGACAATTTAATATTTTAATATTAATAATTATATTACAAATTCAACACCCATCAAAACACTCACCCCACCTAATTTCAAACCCTAAATCATTTTAATCTCTCTCTCTCTCTCTCTCTCTCTCTCTCCTCAACGAGGCGCTGCACGCTGTTGTCTACTGTAGCGACGACGATATGGAGGTGGTTTTGGGGACGGCGACTTGCACACTGATGTGAACGGCTGTAGCGTCGTGACGTTGTTGCCACGACGCTGCCGTGCGACGCTTCCCTTCACAGCAGCGTCGCGATGCTCCTGTGAACGACAACCTGGTGGGTGGGTGGGTGTGTGCGCGCGCGCGCGGAGTGGAGTTGTGTGTGTGCGTGTGTGCAGTTAGCGGTGGTAGCATTGGTGTTTTTAGTTGGGTTTTTTTGGTTATTGGAGTGGTAGTGATTATTTTTATGTTTTGGTAGTGTTGGTATTTAAGGGTGGGTCCAGGAATGGCAGTGGTGGTTTCCATGTTTTGGGGGTAGTTTCTGGAGTGTTGGTGCTATGTTGAGGTGGTAGTGGTTGTTTAGTGGTGCAGTTGTTTGTGGGTTGCAAAATGGCCTTTCTGGCGGCGGCAGTGGTAGTGTGGTGGTGGCCGAGTGGGTGGTCACAAGTTGCCAGTGGCAATGGCGGTAGCGTTCGTGACAGTGGTGTGTGACCATTATTAGGTGCATGTGACTAATTATTTGGTCATCTGCAATCAAGTATGGGTGGTGGATCGGATCGGGGTGAGGTGTTTCAGTGTATGTGACCAACTATTTGGTTCAACTTGAAAATATGTGACCGACTTTGACCTGTGATCGACAATTTTTTTGATGTATGACCAATGAAATAAACTGTGACGTATAAATTTTTTTATAAAATTTTTAATTTGTGACATTGAAATAATTTGTGACCAATTAATTTGATAAAATGTGACAATTAAATAATTTGTGACTCATAAGGATGTATTTGTGACCATGAATTGTATAATTAGATTTTTGCAATTTTCAAACTTAAGACTTGAAAATTGATTTAGTGATAGTTAATACCTGATTTATGAACTCTTCCCATAAGTTAAATGATGGACAATAGACGTGTAAAAATGGATGGGCCAGTTCAAATCAGTCCGCCTAGGGAAGGAACTGGCATGGCCTGAACCTGTTTTGGAATGGGCCTGAATGATTAATGGGCCGATCCTTATCCGGCTTGTAGAAAATATATAGGCTCGAGGATCGAGCTGCGAACTGGTCTCCATATTAATTTTTAATCACTAAAAATTACAAAATGAATATGAAATAACCTTATTTTAATTATATAAAAAATTGCAAAATGAAAAATAGACTATGAAAGCCTATTCTAAAGGCTGTGACAGCCTTACATGATTTTTTTTTAAAATTTGTTTTTTTAATATAATTTTTTTTTCAACGGATTTGACGGGTCTATAGACCCGTGAATCGGCTCACGAGAACTACGAGTTGGCTTGCGGGCCATTTTAACCGAGCTGGTTCCGGGTGGGCCATGTTGGTCCCATCGGTTTAACACTACTAATGGGAAGTCAACAATTTTAGGCACAAATGAATAGTTATTTTGCTGCAACTGGAAGACTTTGCATGTATTTACTGCCTTTCACAATCCTTTGTTGAAATTGGTAAGATTTGCATGAAAAAACTATGCAAATTGTCGGGTAAGAATCAGTATTACATAGAGGTGCTTGCTCATAGCCAAACCGTACTAAATGATAAAAATTCTAAGCGTGCATTCAAAGTTGTCTTTGACATTTTTCAAAGAGTATATTCGTTTTCAGTGTAGTGAAATTTAGCGGTAGACCTTTTATCGTAATTGTTTGTATGAGATATTGCATAATTTTAACCATTTTTATATAGTGAAAATCTCTATCTTTGGTCTTTTCTTCTCTCGCTTTGGAGTTTTAACGTAAATCCTTGAGTTGTTATTCTCCTATATTTTTATCTTTCAGTCTTCTTGATATTTTCTCATTAAGAGGGATGCGGAGGTAAATTTGGAAATTGATCTAGTTCCTAACGCTAGTAGATATTGCACTGAAATGAACAAAGGGGCAAAAATAAATTCATGTCATCAATTTTATATTTAGCAATAGCTAGACTTCCTATTTTATATATGAAATGTGACATTGAAAACACGTTGCAAAGATTTGAATTTGGAAACTTGTTTTTAATTTTTTCAATCAACCTTTTACATTAGAATGATGCTATATATTGTCGAGAGCAATTTTGAACTAGTATTTGAATTATATAATCGATTAAGCCTATCTTTTGGCTCATTTTTTATGAACTATTTATAAACATTTCATGTCACTTTTTATTACTCATTTTTATTTATTAACATTACATGTACAAGTTAGAGATGATCATCGTGTGAAACGGAATATAACGATAAGGTTAATAAAGTATGTCTCATATTTACATATATTTGACCTTATCAATTTATCTGGTTGACCACATTACCCGTCATTTATAAATGAGAATGATATCATTTTGCACATATAAATTTATTGTTATAATTTAAATAATTTATAAACATTTTCCAATCATACTCTTAC